GGTGAAAAATCCATTAAATTTGATGAATATGGATCAGTTAGACGTGTACCCATTATGATACATTGAGTATCAGGATGAGTAGATTTCAGTTGATTTAATGCGTCGTTCATTCGACCTTGAATTTTAATAAGATCTATTTCATAACGTTTGACACTTTCATCAATAAATTGTAAAACATCATCGAATTGTGGTTTATTATGAATAAATAAAGCACGAAATAATGGTTTCTTATTTGAATGTAACAACTTTTTACTTAATACTAATGAAAACAGGTGTAAAACAACGGTACAATCTTTACCACCGGTGAATGCAACTGCTATTTGATTAGGTGTATATATAGTTAAACATTGTTCAAGGACATTGAATGAATGATCAATTTTATTGACTAGATCAGAATCAGGTATGAGTGGTAGATAATCAACTGTCATTATAACTACGCTTGGTAAGTTGTAATAAGATTGAATGAAGAGACTAATGGATTTCTTGTTTGTTGACGAGAAGATGTATATTGTAATTCAGAAATAGAAATTGCAAGTAAATTCAAATTAGATCTAGTATTCATAAACACACCATATAAATAAATATAATGGAAACAACAGATACAAACGTATAACAAAGGATGTCCCCAAACTAATAATAATAAGAAATAAATAATTCGACGTTGATATATAATTAAATCACTGCTGTCACCACTGTTATGTTCTACTTCTAATATACTTGTTTTAACGGTAAATCATGGATTCGAATAGTGCAGAACATACATGTTTGTTTATTTCTTTAAATTAAACAATCATTACTATTTGTTTAGCGAGTTGCATATATATATAACACCAAAAGAACAGAAACAGAAAAAAAACAAGAGAAGAAAGGAAGAGAAGAAGAAAGAAGAGAAAACCACAGAAAGGATAAACATATATAATGATATAGATGGCATATCATAACAGTCACGTTTTCTTACTATGAATTCTTTAAAAAAATTCTTGGATCTTCGCTATCTAACAACAGAACTCATGAAATACTTTCAACATTTTCTATTCACTTCACTAGAGGAGATTATTCTATTAAAAATAATAATCAATCAATTAATTGCAAGGATATAATCTACAATTATCATTAAAGATACTTCTCCTAAGAGAAAAATTCAAATCTTTTTTTTTTATGTAACACGATCTAAAGGGAATGTGAAACATAGGGGTAGAACTTATGAGGGAACCGTTCCAAGTGATATATTGTTTTTTGAGTCCGGACTGTGTGCATAAGATAGACCCCAGTGAGATATGAAAAATTCCAAAAGGGCAAGTGCTCTTAGGTCTTCCCGCCAGAATTATAGCCATTTTACTGAAATTTTAGCCTATAGGACTGTATACACCAAAAACCTGAATGATGGTCCTTCAAGCTGAAACATTGCCCACAGATAGGCCTGAGTATAACTAGAATATCCTGAAAGTTACAGCGCAAAATAATGGATCCTT